TTTTTTTAAATTCTAACCAGAATATTCTGTAAATGATTGAAAGCATGCTCCCATTGCAGCCATTATACCCCGTTTGGTTCTAACGGGAGTGATGACGGGTATAGGCTACGGCATGGGGACGATGAGGGAGTACCACTACAAGACGCGAGATGCCGTTATCCAGCATTACATCGAACTTCACCCGAAAGATTTCGATCATTTCAATGACCGTAAGTTTTTGCTCACGACTACGCAATCATCGTGGAATACCTCGTTATTATAGGATCCGGCCGTGCATTCTCACAAATTTTGTTACCGTGGTATCCTCGACGCACACAGTATACGAGATACGATTAGGATCACGAAACTAGAATTGTAGACAAATTGTTTATGTATAGATACGTGGCTCTTTAGAAATAAATGAATGTCTAACATTTTTGTTTGAGCGTAACGATACGGTTCGTACCATGCTCTCTGAAACCCATTTCTTGGGATGTCTGTCAATTTTTGCATTTAATGAGCATTGCCAGATGGATGAAGCCACATCTTCCGAGTCTGCTGATGCGATTGCGAAGAAAAAGGAGTTGCTTTTGCAACGACTGCAGCAGAGGCGGCCAGCAAAACAGTCAAGAGCCGGTTAGTAATTACCGGGTACTGCAATTTTTTCTCAAAGCACTTATGACTCTGCATTTGCTGTTTTGATCCCATTTTTTGTAATATATATTGATCAATCTTTTTGTAGTTGGTATTTTATCACTTTTACTGTGATTTCTTGGGCTGCAGGTACTGAGCAAGCAAAAGTGCGAGAGGAAGAGTTGACTGAATTGTTGAGTCGTGCAAAGGAGCAGGCCGACTCAGGTGTCGTGAACGAAGAGACGATAAAGGCTTTAGGTTGGTTGTGTGTTTTTCTTCATTTTGTACTACCCACATCCTACTGAATCTCTATGATTTTATTCAGAAAGTTTTCTGTCGTTAGAAGGATGCGGTTGGTCTGCCAAACGCATACAAGCTGCTCTAGAGATGTTACGGAAGACTAGCATTGGTGTGAGCAGTGATGCTCCACCGAAATCTGCGTTTTCATTTTCGGTGGGTTTTCAGGCGGTGGCCCTTGAAATCATTGTAGATTGATAGAAGTACTCGGAGACTCAATCTTTATCAAGTATCTATCTACACTTGTTTTTTTCGCTTATATCATATTTGAAAGGTTGAGGCAACTTTTGCAGGCTCCGAAGAAGCCATCCACGCCATCACATCGTCCAAGAAGGCAATCATCGTCAGTTTCATCCGAAACGACTTCAGTGATTGAGAATGCACCTTCGGATAATGTTATCAGCTTGTCAAATATGGTAAGGAAATCTTCACTCCGTAAAATTTCTTTAACACAGAAGTTCAGAGCGATGAAACGCGACTTGTGGCCGGTGAAAACGGAAACGACATAAAGTTGAAAGAAATTAGAAATTGTAAACTCTCTTTTGCCTTTCGTCCATCCACCGTTCACATCCAGGTAAAATGATGATTTAAAGGAAACTATAATTTTCTCTTAACAAGTGCTTTGCAGGGACTGTATGATTCAGAACTAGTCTTTCTTCCTGTCGAAACTTCTGTACTTATGAATGACTGTCAACGGTAAGCTGATTGAAAATTTAAAGCTCAGTTGGATATTCAAAGCAGTTTTTTCCAGTTCGAAAATATTTGCGTCTGCGCAACAGTTACGTATCCATACTTCCAAAGATCTTCGGCTTCATGTCGGTGTACGTGCAGCTGTAATTATTGAATCCTGTACAAACATTCGGATGGCTCCTTACAGGTAAGCACCCATTAGCACTCACCTATCACTTATTAGTTGCTTAAGTCATTTATCCATTTTCCTTTTTTGATTTTGTGATGATTTGTTTTTGTTTTTGTTTTTCGTGTTTTTGCTCCAGTATCGTCATAAGTAGACGGCGAGTTTACATTTGAATGAGGAAAGGTACAGTTTACTGAATGAGTTTCAGTTTGCTTTCTCATGACATAGCAATGAAATTGATTAACCCGAAATCTAGCCGATAAAACCGCTTTCATTTTCAGAAAAGAACGAGAAAAGTGCATGCGCTCTAACAAAAATCTTGCAGAATCTTCTTTTTCTCATTCTTATTAATATCTGCTCCATGACGAAGGCGGTTGCTCAAATTGGTTGAAGGCATGCAAGGCTGATGCGTACGCGAGCGCGGGCAATTGTCAACCATGGGGCGCG